AAGGCAGGGAATGTGTCATTTCTTCTGCCAAAGTACACTATTTTGTCCTAAAACCTGTGTTCTCACATGCAGCTAAATAGCAACCTTACATATAGTTTTCTTTCTTCAGATGTGTCTGACCTGGCCTGGATTTCCAAATGAGTTCGTGTGTCAACAGCAGTGCTATGGTGCCACATGGTGCCTCACAGCCTGCCATCCTGGATAGATGAATCTCTGTGTCTATGGTGGGAATAATTTGTCCAGGTTTAGTGACCACATGATATTTGTTTTAGATGAAAGCCATGATTTATGAGTTGTTTGCACTGTATAATCCTCCAGTCTGCATCCTTTCCCTTGTTGTGCTCTGGGTGAACACATCTCAGTACTGCGATGGCCATGCTGTCACTGAATTTGATGTTGCTTTCTGAAACCCTTGTGTGTTCACTAGGATACTGTAGCCATTGTATATTTGGCCTTCAGTTTGCTTTTGTGTGTATGCTATTGCTTTGTCTTTGTTTCTAGTGCCAATCTGGTCTTACCAACTATTTATTTCTAATTAGTATTACGTTATTTTGTAGTTCTTCCTGTGAGTCACTGCTTGTTTTCTTGGTATGGTACATTTTCACTTGGCTTTTTTTGTCTGCAAACTTTGATATAATGATTTCCCTAGCCATAGCTATTGCAAATGACACCATACATTGCGCAGTAATTATTAGAAATTGGGGAATTTTTTCCCGCAAAATCCTCCTTTAATTATAATTTCCTGGTTTGTATTTGTGCATTTTGAAAATTCTTGGTGCTATCTTTCCTTGTAAATTTTTGATCTTTTCTACTTGGAGTTTTATTTTTCTCTACATCTCTAAGAGAGTTTCTTCGCTAGGTTTGTTTATATCTGTAGCCTTAGAGAACCTGTATGTTCTCCATACTTTAGGATACGCTTTGTCTGTTATTTCTAGTCCCTTATGAAGTATTTAATCTCACAATATCTAGGTGCTGCGTGAATTGGTGATTAGTGTGGTTTGATAATGGGAGGATATAGTGTTTCCATAGATCCTCGGTTACGTATGTCAAGAACTTCTAATATTTTCCTGGGTCCTTACTCTGCTGTCCATATAATACATTGTGGGTAGAGCATTTGACAGTGCAATTGGTCTCCCTCTGTTTCCTTCTTTTTTCCTTACCTCTTTCCATTTGTATGCATGTGAAATTGTGTTCAATTTCTAACTATATGCCTATTTCAGGATCATCTAAACAGGATACACCAGCATAATAATTATTTATCTTTTCCTTTATTTTTTTTTTTGTGTTTGTCTGCGTTCCTCCCCCCCCATTCTCTTTAGTCTCTGACTGCAGATCTTGAAAATCCTGATAAATTGCTATTTCTGAAATAATTTTCAGGATTTTAATTCTGCAAGTGCCGATAGAGTTCAAGAAGCAGTTGCACAATATACTTGGGCACATGGTGTGACTCTTAGGGAAGGTCCTGGGCCAAGAGTTGGACTTGATCCTTGTGGGTCCCTTCCAAGTCAGCATATTCTGTGATTCTGTGATTCTGTGAAAGATATGGAACATTTAGCCCTTGTACAACACTCTAGATGTGCTTTCACAGTAAGCAGCTGCTGGAAGCACTGCTGCTAAATTAAAACACAAACCACAAACACCTTGGCAAACCTTGAGATCCATAAACCTGACATCAACTCGTAGCAATCAAGTGCTCTTGAACCTTTCTTGCTAGGGTTTATGTAACTATAGTATACATTAGCCTTGTCCATAAAGCATGTAGACTTAGGTACAACCTCTGTCTGAAACATTCCTGCTATGTCTTTAGAGGCAGAAAGCTTCTGAAACGGACTGCACAAACATCAGTCTGGGTCTGACCTCACAGAGCTGCACACAGACTTGCACAGCTCAAAAATTAGTGCTTTAGAGCACAGGTCTCCCGTTGTGGAGGAGTGAAGCTGCTAAGAGTATTATCCTATTTCACGGGTTACAAGTGGGAGGAAGTGCTTCACAACTTTCAGCATTACCTTTTTAAAAGGCATTTTATTTCATCAAACAATTACATTTTTAAGAATAACTTGATGCCTTACTCAGAAGTTTACCTGAAAATTATGAAGCTGTTTTAATGAGGATATATATTCCTTGATGAGTTCAAGTTAAAATAAAACCTCACCTTTCAGTTAACTTCTCAAATTATTAGATTATTTAACATATCGTTTGAAGCTGCTGTACTATAGTGCAAGGGTCAGTAATTGGAATGGGTTGCCCAGGGAGGTGGTGGGTTCATCCCCCCTGAAGGTATTTAAGAAGATACTGGATGTGGTACTTGGGGCCATGGTCTAGTCGACAAGGTGGTGTTGAATAATGGGTTGGACTTGATGATCTCAGAGGTTCTTTCCAACCTAGCTGATTCTGTGATTCCATGTGATTCTGTCATGCTGTAATTTCAAAGTCTTACAAAAGTAGCTGTGATTTCCCAAACGATCAAGCATCTTAGGAGCTTGGATCCCACTTTTAGAGGCAACAGGCACACTGGAGCCTTAGTTTCTTGATTTGCAATGCTATAATGCTGTTTGTTATCTAAACCATCCTTATGGGTGAAGCTTAAGCTCCTACATCTTTAGAGACTATTACACTAAATCAATTTGCTTTTCCCTTAGTTGTTGGGGGTCCTGGTAGAAGTTTGGCAGCCTGTCAGAGACACCTTCACCCATGTGGAAGAATGGGTACATTCAACAGGTAATTCATCTCTCCTAACTATGTTCTGATGAAGGCATACATCACATTTTGAGGAGGTCAAAAGTTTCTATTACTATGTCCATATTCCAAATTTCTAGTTTAGACCAAATGTCTTTTGGAGGACTAAAGTTAAGAAAGAGAAATTTCATTGTCAGTAATTTTCTTCTAATTCCCTGCCACTAAAATCCAGGGATCTTTACCTAAACTAATGAGCCTGATGTGTCTCCATTTATCAACATCTTCCCCTGAATTTGGTTATTTTTAAAATGTTTGCTTTCTCTAGGTTTAGCAATGGGTAATACAAGAAATGTGATGCATCATGTCCTCTGGGCAGAAACTGACAGTATGTGGCTTTCTTTGCCATAAAGAGCAGAAGAAGGAAAAGCCATCTGCAAACCAAAACAATGCTCAGAAGGGCATGACAATGTGTTTCTAGGATCTCCTGTTTGAATATTGACTTTCATACTACCTGTGAAAGCACATAAAGCATTTGGAGAATGAGGCGGGCATTGATTAGCTTTCCACAGCTCTGCAGGTTCTCTCTACCGCTATTCATCTTGTTTGGCAAGTGATTTAAAAGAGCTGTAGCAGGAACCTTTGGGGCCAGCCCGGCAATATCAAACCTGAACACAGCTGAAAGGTACCAGCAAAAAACGTTGAACTGGACATTTTTGTTTATTGATCTTAAATACCAAGTTGTGTGGGAGAAACTGTAATTTGTGGGAGGCTGTAACTATTTCTTGTTCCTTCCCAGCCAAGAGCTCAGAGACTCCTTGGACATAGAACTCTGGGGAGGCTGTACACTACTCCATAGAGGGTGGTGTAGCCAAAACACAAGGTTCAAATCCCTCATGTTTGTGATGGTGTCATCAAACCCTCACACAGCAAAGGTTTCGGGGTGTTAGGTGAACAAATCATTGGCAGGTGAGTAATGCAGCTCACATGTACCCGTTGCACTCCTGCTGCATTCCTGTTGCATTCCTGCTGCCTATCCTCTGCAGATTTCAATTTTCCTTGAAGGAACACCTGAGCAAACTATGAGGCTACACCTGTGCAACCATATTTACAGTCAAGCATACTGTGACAGCTATGTTAAAGAAGTGGTTGCCCAGGGTGGGTTCACAGTCCTCTAAAACATCCCTGCTGTGGAGGTAGCAATGTCTAGGAGAGGGGGGAGCAGGGTAACTGATAACTGGGATAACTGCTTCTGGCATCTGCTGCTGCACTTGCTTGGAGCAATAAGACCCATGTAGGGCAGACATGGACACCCAGACGTGCACACATATAAATAGCACCCTGCACACTACAAACTATAAACTGCAATTTTAAATGACCCTTTCCCTCACAGAAGCCATCTACCTTATGGCACTACTCAGGATCTCACACCAGAAAGTTATTAGTGGTGTCTAGGCTGATCGCCTCACATGAGGTTACAAAACATGTCAGAACACAGTATATGCTTCAACTAATTTGTACTCCCTCAGNAGGATCACTCTCGAGGAGAAAAGACAACGCAGAAAGAATCGCGTCTTGTCGATATCACCTGGGGAGTCTTTCTGCTGTACGTTCTGCAACCGGACTTGTCTATCTCGCATTGGCCTTTTTAGCCATCAGCGTGCTTGTAGCAAGCGTGGGTAGAGCCCCTCTCAAATCTTCGTTCGCGAAGCCTAGCCAACAACAATAACATTTTTAAGAATAACTTGATGCCTTACTCAGAAGCTTACCTGAAAATTATGAAGCTGTTTTAATGAGGATATATATTCCTTGATGAGTTCAAGTTAAAATAAAACCTCACCTTTCAGTTAACTTCTCAAATTATTAGATTATTTAACATATCTTTTGAAGCTGCTGCACTATAGTGCAAGGGTCAGTAATTGGAATGGGCTGCCCAGGGAGGTGGTGGATTCATCACCCCTGAAGGTATTTAAGAAGATACTGGATGTGGTACTTGGTGCCATGGTCTAGTCGACAAGGTGGTGTTGGGTCATGGGTTGGACTTGATGATCTCAGAGGTTCTTTCCAACCTAGCTGATTCTGTGATTCCATGTGATTCTGTCATGCTGTAATTTCAAAGTCTTACAAAAGTAGCTGTGATTTCCCAAATGATCAAGCAGCTTAGGAGCTTGGATCCCACTTTTAGAGGCAACAGGCACACTGGAGCCTTAGTTTCTGGATTTGCAATGCTATAATGCTGTTTGTTATCTAAACCATCCTTATGGGTGAAGCTTAAGCTCCTACATCTTTAGAGACTATTACACTAAATCAATTTGCTTTTCCTTTAGTTGTTGGGGGTCCTGGTAGAAGTTTGGCAGCCTGTCAGAGACACCTTCACCCTTGTGGAAGAATGGGTACATTCAACAGGTTGAATTACCATCAGAACATAGTTAGGAGAGATGAAGGCATACATCACATTTTGAGGAGGTCAAAAGTTTCTATTACTATGTCCACATTCCAAATTTCTAGTTTAGACCAAATGTCTTTTGGAGGACTAGAGTTAAGAAAGAGGAATTTCATTGTTAGTCATTTTCTTCTAATTCCCTGCCACTAAAATCCAGGGATCTTTACCTAAACTAATGAGCCTGGTGTGTCTCCATTTATCAACATCTTCCCCTGAATTTGGTTATTTTTAAAATGTTTGCTTTCTCTAGGTTTAGCAATGGGGCATACAAGAAATGTGATGCATCATGTCCTCTGGGCAGAAACTGACAGTATGTGTGGCTTTCTTTGCCATAAAGAGCAGAAGAAGGAAAAGCCATCTGCAAACTAAAACAGTGCTCAGAAGGGCATGACAATGTGTTTCTAGGATCTCCTGTTTGAATATTGACTTTCATACTACCTGTGAAAGCACATAAAGCATTTGGAGAATGAGGCAGGCATTGATTAGCTTTCCACAGCTCTGCAGGTTCTCTCCACCGCTATTCATCTTGTTTGGCAAGTGATTTAAAAGAGCTGTAGCAGGAACCTTTGGGGCCAGCCCGGCAATATCAAACCTGAACACAGCTGAAAGGTACCAGCAAAAAACGTTGAACGGGACATTTTTGTTTATTGATCTTAAATACCAAGTTGTGTGGGAGAAACTGTAATTTGTGGGAGGCTGTAACTATTTCTTGTTCCTTCCCAGCCAAGAGCTCAGAGACTCCTTGGACATAGAACTCTGGGGAGGCTGTACACTACTCCATAGAGGGTGGTGTAGCCAAAACACAAGGTTCAAATCCCTCATGTTTGTGATGGTGTCATCAAACCCTCACACAGCAAAGGTTTCGGGGTGTCAGGTGAACAAATCATTGGCAGGTGAGTAATGCAGCTCACATGTACCTTCCCCTGTTGCATTCCTGCTGCCTCTCCTCTGCAGATTTCAATTTTCCTTGAAGGAACACCTGAGCAAACCATGAGGCTACACCTGTACAACCATATTTACAGTCAAGCATACTGTGACAGGTATGTTAAAGAAGTGGTTGCCCAGGATGGGTTCACAGTCCTCTAAAACATCCCTGCTGTGGAGGTGGCAATGTCTAGGAGAGGGGGGAGCAGGGTAACTGATAACTGGGATAACTGCTTCTGGCATCTGCTGCTGCACTTGCGTGGAGCAAGTAAGACCCATGTAGGGCAGACATGGACACCCAGACGTGCACACATATAAATAGCACCCTGCACACTACAAACTATAAACTGCAATTTTAAATGACCCTTTCCCTCACAGAAGCCATCTACCTTATGGCACTACTCAGGATCTCACACCAGAAAGTTATTAGTGGTGTCTAGGCTGATCGCCTCACATGAGGTTACAAAACATGTCAGAACACAGTATA